TAGTATAGCAAAAACTATAAGATACATTAAAATAGAGTGCTTTTATTTCGTTGAAAACAGGAATTAAACATTAAATATGTAAATTAAATTGGCAAGATTCATAGAGCATAACAATAATAAACGGGTGTCACATTTTACCTTATTTTCTGATTGGGTAAAAATAGGAATGTAGAGGACATATTTCTACCTTTTATACCGAATAAACACTTGTTTAGTACAATCGGTACCTAAATAAAATATTGAAATAACGAACTGTATTTATGCTCAAAGTCCATTTATAAAATTCAAATCAAGAGCAAAGCAAACACGGACCTCTAAAACATCAGAGGTGGGGTCAGGTGCAAAGGAGAAGTGATAATCTCTTGCAGACTGGTCACACCCACCGTGTTTTGCATTCTGGTTAAAATCTGGCATTTACAATATTTTTCTATCTAGAATAAATAATTTATAATATTCAGACCTTGATATAAAGGAGAACTTCCAATTTTTTTTACACAACATTTAATATATTAAGTTTCTGTAAAAATAATTTTTCATTAATTGCGCTTCTCTATTTTCAAATAACTGACGACAATGAAATGAATTTTGATTTGCAGTTTTTGACTTCGAATTAAATTGTGGCAAATGAAACTTAAATGTGCATTCGTGGGAACATGGCTATACTTTGTTTGACTTGGTTGTTTACTTATAAAATGTTGCACAGGTCTGTAAAGCAGCGAAAGTTATCATATGGACGAAATCAATGCCTTTTACCAGTGCGCAATAAATATTTAACTCGCATTAAATGAATGCTAAGAATATTCCAATTTATACTAAAGTGGATAAAATTGAGTTCAAATAATAGTTAACGCAAAGGAAACTAATGCATATTAAAAAGTTTCACAGCTTTGCTTTTAATGATATATTTTGATTTATACAAAGCAGTGATGTACATTGACATTGTTTATCATAGCGCCTATACTTATTTAAGTGACAAACTTAATCTCTACTATTCATCCAGGAAGAGAATAAACACTGATATCACACTATGGACATGTGACATGTGGCTTAATTTGTATCAACTAATACACAATAATTTCTCCATTGACACGGATCAGATTTAATTTTTGATAACACATCAAATTTAAATTTAAGTCTCTGTGTGAACAAAACATAAAAGTAGATCGGCAGCATTACACAAATCTTTTACTGATGCATCAGATAAAAATCAACTGTACATGTACGATATATGAAATAAGAAAAATTTCAACATATTTATTTTTCAAATTCTTTAAATGAATAAAAAAAAGGATCTATAGATAACTGGGAAAAATTACTCTAATCAAATTGCACATTTGTCGCCTTTTCCAGGAACGAAACAGTATTTGTGACTAGTTCATGGTGTAGTAAAAATTTTGGAACCAGTGGTGCGTCATGGCGACAAAACAGATTTATTTCGGGCAACTTGTAGTGAGGAAAAAATCCCTTGGACACGTATCCTATCAACCTTTGTAGGATAGACAGAAATCCTCCTTCTTTGCAAATATATTATAAAATTTATCGAATTAAAAAATGTTTCCAATATTTGACTTGTTAACTCAATAGGGCGTACAATATGGTTTAACAAGTATCACATTAAGACGGTTTTAGGTGAATAGGTTACTAGAGTGTATCATTAGATTTTACAGGTAAATGTAAGTTGATTCAATATTCTTTGAAGCCACGTGTGTATGTATGTGCCAATGTGTTGTATTGTTTAAAAAACAATAACTTTCTTAAATTGCGATTTTTTTAAGGGACATATGATGTAAACTATTTTTTCTTTGGGGAAGACTTGATATTAATAATGTCACAGGTTTAGAAAAGTGGAAAAATCTTTTAATTTTTTTTCTCTTTAGAATTTGAGAATGGAATACCTAGAATTTTTCACCAGAAAGTAAGCAATTGAGGTAATCGCTGTAAAGACTTATTTAATCTGTATTCTTTTACTTTCTTTTTTCTTCAAAAATGTTTCTTAAGTAGCACAGAGTGAACTTATATTACATTTACTCAATAACCTGTTTAATTTTCTTGCACAAAAGAAATGACACCAGTTTTTAAATCGTATCGCATTAATATATAATGATCATTACTTCAATAAAATTCTTAATATGGACAAAGCTCGCCCAGTAAAGTTAACAGATGAAAATAATTTTCAGAATGTGTTAGCTTGGTGCTATTAGTGTATTATAAACCCCCCAAAAATACCAAGCCAAGTGAATTTTATGAGGAAAAGAAAAATGGTAAAAATCAGCCTAATTGATTTTTTCTGATTTTTCTGTTTATCATCTGTCCCTTAATTGTATTCCAGATTTTAATAGATTTTTAGCTCACTATTCTTTTTATTAATTGCTTTAAAATCTTGCCACTTCCGAAATTAAAAAGTTTTTGTAATCTATTTGTATGACTTAAACGCAAGTTCAAATGAAATAAGAGGGTTTTTTTTCCTTTCGGGCAAGAATTTTCATTCTTTTCAAAACTTAAGTAGCACTAAAACCTCATGTTTTAAGTTACACTGCTAATATTGTACCATCCAGTATCTGAGTATGTAGAAAACTACGAGTACACTATACGTTGTACTGTTGACAATCTCATCATTTACAATAATCTGGTAATATTTTATAATCTTGTTATATCATTTTCAATTTATCCCACGTATCCAACTATTGATACTGCCCTGTCATATCCAACAAACTAGACAGTGATTTCTTAATAATTTAATGGTTCATGTGTTAATAAGACATTAGACTAAGATGAGGGAAAACCAGAGTAGAAAGTTAACTTCCTAAATTTGTTATACAATACTTTTTGCAAGAATTGAAGGGGGTTGTGTTGTATCAATGCTGCATATCAACTGAAAAATATTTACAATAAAAGAGAATTATTCTTTTTCTAAAAAGCAGAAAATCTTGGCACATGTGGCTTCAAACAACATGAAAATCAAATCACACTTATCTGTAAGATCTTATGATACACATGCATAACCTTGTGACCTAGATTCAAACTTGATATTTGTCAGAAAAAAATGTATACCCTATTGAGCTACCCATCAAGCTATTGAAAACTTTACCAGTATTTTGTAAATCGCTGTAAAATAATTTCTGAGTTCAATAATTAAAGAAGAAGGTTTTTGAACTTTTTACATTATTTTGTTGAAATATGTGGAGATAACAAAAAGTATTCAAGCTCAAATGTCCATGAAACAATACAGAATAGGAACAAGCGGGGATTACACGGACTTCCAAAGCATCGGAGGTGGGGTCGATCAGGTGCCAGGAAGGAGTAATCATCCCCTGTCGACCAGTCAAACTCGCCGTAAGCGCCTTGTCATGATCAAGAAATAACGAAAAAATCCGCCGTCAATTTAGTCTGTAAATAAAAGACTAACAATTAGTATGAGAAAAGTCATCCAGCATTTGACTCAATGACAAATTGTATTTGCTGACAAGTTCATACATCGACCATAGAACTTACGAAATGATGACTTTAAACTAGAGTTCTGATTTACTTTAACTTTTGGACAATTTGAAATCACAAGACTTTACAAAAATCAACAGCTTAAAACTTACGACTTTTCAACTTTATACACAACAATTCCCCACGACAAATTAAAATCCAGGCTTTTTGATATCATTGACAGCTGCTTCTTCAACAAAAATGGAACTCCTAAATTTACTTACCTCGTCATTGGTCATTTGAAAAATTATTTTGTTAAAACAGATTCTGATTGCACACATAAGTACTCTGAAGTTGACATCAAGAAGATGCTTGAGTTTCTGATTGACAATATCTATGTGGTTTTTGGAGACCAGGTATTCCAACAATCTATTGGAATTCCCATGGGTACAAATTGCGCTCCGTTATAAGCAGACTTATTTTTATATTCATATGAAGCAGAATTTATGCAAAATCTTATGCGTGAAAAGAAGAAAACACTTGCTGTGGCCTTCAACTCGACATTTAGATATATCGACGACTTATTGTCAATTAATAATGATAATTTCCATTCCTACATCGACACGATATATCCTGCTGAGCTTGAGATAAAAGATACCACAGAGTCCGACACTTCTGCTTCATACTTGGATATTTTACTTGAAAAAGACACTAATGGTAATCTAACAACCAAGCTATATAATAAACGTGATGACTTTAAGTTTTCTATCGTCAACTTCCCTTACTTATGCAGCAATATACCAACATCACCTGCATACGGAGTATATATATCTCAGTTGATTCGATACGCAAGAGCATGCTCTACGTATGAACAATTTCTTAAACGAGGTAAATTATTGACAAGCAAGTTGATGAAACAAGAATATCAACAGTCTCGTTTAAAGTCATCATTTCGTAAATTCTATGGTCGATACAATGACCTTGTCAGCAAATACAATTTATCATTGAATGAAATGCTGACTGACGTTTTTCATACCAATTGTTAGTCCATTATTTATACACTGAATTGACGACGGATTTTTTCCGTTATTTCCTGATTATGACAACGAGCACACGGCGGGTGTGACCGGTCGGCAGGGGATGCTCTTTCCTCCATGGCACCTGATCCCACCTCTGATGTTTCGGAGGTCCGTGTTTGCTCTGCTCTTATTTTGTATATTGTTTAATGGACGTTGAGATTGAATACTGTTCGTTATTTCCATATCCTTGTTTCATCAACTTGTCCGTCAATAATTAATCTTGTTTCAGAAATTGTAGATCATGCATGTTGAGCATGCTCATGCGTATCAAATCAACTGAGAGATATAAACCCCGTATTTAGGTGATGGTTTGTTGCTGCATAAATAAGGGAAAATGAATTAAATTATAATATGAACACTTTATATCATATATAATAAAAACTTTATTTCTTTTGCTGGAATTAAACTCCGTGTAACCTTTCCATTCCTACAGCATTTGAAAAAAATCCAATATAAGCTTAGGAAAATCAGCTTTTCATTACCTGACATAGGTGTATTGATCTTTAGGTGACAATGTACATTCTATGCTAGAAAGGATGATGAGGTAAACAACAGTTCTTTATACTGGTAGTGGAGAAAACAAACACCTACCTGTCTTGTCTCAAGGATTTCGAATTACAGGAATGGTATCCAAAAACTCACCAGAGGGAACTGTTTAGAAATAAACGGCATATTATGGTTTAAATGAGAACAAAACCGAACACCGCCTGCACCACGTGACAGTACTCACCACGATATCGGGATGAGGAGGGGGACCATTATAAGGAAGCACCGAGGGCGGGGGAGGAGAACCTCTGCACCTGCATACCTAGCAACACACGGTCAAATTCCCTCCCGTTCGACTCATCGTCTCTCCGCCCCGTCCGTCGTGGAGTCGTTTAACACTCATCGGTACTTTGACCTGCAGCAAACTAAATCAACCGTGTCGAGAAAAGTGAGTACAATACCAATGTTTTATTTGATAGAAAAAAAATTATATCTTTCAGTAAAAAAGTTAAATATCAAAGCGCTTCTTGATAAAATAATAAATAGCGGCGTGGATCAGAAACTCTTGACTTGGGAAGCTGTTCGCTGAATAGAGAAGTCGAACTTAACCATGAAATAATATAAACATGCATGCTAATCTTGGGCAATAAGCAAAATTAAAAAAAAATGAGTGGGTCAAAAATTTCAATTTCAGGTATTAAATATTGTATTGAATAAATAAAATTTGATTGGTCTCATTTTCCATAAAAAAAACAAAACGTTTTTTTTCGATAGTTTTAGAAACATATTTTTAGCCAAACAAAATCTCTGTGTGTGATTAGCACTGTCCATTGAATGGATTCAGCGAGCAGAGTTTTGACGCTGTTAACGGATATAAAAGAAAATACAGACATACACGTCATATATGGTTGCGTAGATAAATTATCAGAAGACAATGGTAACAAACATTTTGCCAATGCATTTTCTCTGAAATTGTAAATGGGTACGTTTCTGAGGAAAGGGGTGGGCGGATTTAGATACAGATACTGTCAGTAGAATACTTAATATACGAGTGGAATCACACGCAAAGCAAAATGATTCCCACTAATTTTCATGGTTCTAATGTCTATAAAAAATGTATTGATCAACCGTCAATTTGCGAATTATAATAATCGCTTATTGACATTGAAGAGTCATTTCGCGATAATCAGTATACTCGCGAAAAAGGAATCAACAGTATATACCTTGTGTTATTATTATACTATGGGTCTCGTATATTGATGATTTTAGTAGAGGTAGCTAAAAGTACATGTATAAGCAATTACTAGACTTTCTTTTTTTAAATTGTGATATTGCTTCGTCTACAACTTATAGGTATAGAATTGATAACACAAATTACAATGTGTACTTCCTTGATGAAGTTTTTAATGAAAATCATAACACTGATACTCGACCAATCCTCGTAACAGTTTTTCTCCTCAATAAAGCGTAATTGGCAATATATTTCTGTTTTTAATAAGAGAGGAGTCTTTTTTCCGTACTTCATTCATAATAAACATTTGAAACCCCATCAACTTTCTCTTGATAAAGGATGGATATTATTGATGCTAACAAAGTGATAATGGGTGCTAAATATCACGCATGGGGGCGAACATGTTGATCAACTAATGTGACTCAGGAAAACAGTAGAGTTTGCGTTTTTGTTATATCCGACGAGAACATGTGTGCCTTTTGGACCCGGTATGGGTCCCTTGCTAACATTGCTAAGAACAGCAGAAGAAAGCCAACAGTTGTTAGCAGTATGAACCTAAAGCAGAGCTGCGAGGTAGGAATATTCTTAGTCTTGCAGTAGACCGAATTACTAGTATCACAAGTCTAGTTTTTAGAACATGCATGGGTTTGACACTAAGGATCATTTCGAGATTCATGGAGAGAAAATAATTGGGCTAGTTAGGAGTTATTTTATTTGAGTCAATGGATAAGTAACCAAATAAATATTCAACAATTCTGCAAAAAATGCTGCTGCCTAGCAAATACAATTTATTATTAAGTCAAATGCTGACTGACTTTTTTCATACTGATTTAGGCCATTATTTACACACTGAATTGATGAAGGATTTTCCGATCATTACAAGGAGCACACGGCAGATCTGACTGGTTGGTAGGGGATACCCACTCCTCCGTGGCACCTGACCCCACCTCTGATGTTTCGGAGGTCCGTGTTTGCTCTACTCCTCTTTTGTATTGTTTAATGGACTTTTGATCTTTAATTGACAAAAAAACCCGTCGTCAATACACTATATAAATAATGGACTAACAATTAGTATGAAAATTGTCAGTCTGCATTTGTGTATTTGCTGAGAAGGTCGTTGTATCAACCATAGAGCTTTTAAAATGATTACATCAAATAAGAATGCTGATATTCTTGTTTCATCAGCTTGTTTGTCAATACTTTACCTCGTTTAAGAAATTGTTCATACTTAGAGTATGCTCTTGCTATCGAATCAAATAATATATATAAACTCCGTATGCAGGTGATGATGTTATATTGTTGCAAAATAAGGAAAGTTGCCGATTGTAAAGTTAAAGTCATAACGTTTATCATAGACCTTGGTTGTTAGATTACCCTTAGTGTCTTTTTCAAGTAAAACATAAAAATACGAAACGAAGGTGTCTGACTCTGTGGTATCTTTTATCTGAATCTCACCAGGATATATCGACATAAGAATGGATATTACCATTGCTAATGGACAATACGTCATCGATATATCTAGATGTCGATTAAAGGCGACAGCAAATGTTTTCTTCTTTTCACGTATAGTATTTTGGACAAATTCTGCTTGATATGAATACAGAATAGGTCTGCTAATAAGGAGGGTAGAAGTAAACCATACACTTACTTTGTTTGATAAGATTGCTCATGTAATTGCCGTTATTAGGATTAATAACTTTAAGGCAAAGCAAAACTTGCCTTCAATCAATTTTCAGTTCAACGTCAAGTGTATTATAGTTAAAACTATATATGTATGATGTTTATTATCCTAAAAAGACTACTTTTCTTTGTTTTAAAATGTTATTTTAAAAAATAACAATGGAGAATATTTATGGTTTATGGAATAATTTATATTAATATTAACAGATGCGTACTAGGAGTATATATGCATTGAATTAATGCTTTGTCGTCATAACAAACCAATAAACGGTTAATGCTTTATTATGCCATGCTTTTTCGTTATAAAAAAAGCTAGGTTTACCGATATTGCTTGAATACATGTATTGTGTTGCCGAAATTAAATCTCTTATTTAAGGACACCATTCACATGATTCATCATTTTCAAAAAATCTTATAATGACGTCGTTTCTAACCACGCAAAGCACAACTAAAATATACGTATACCGTATAAGTGGAAATTAAGCGAGTCACAAATTTAGCGATTTGTCCTCAAAAAGACACATTTAATTATAAGCGAAATATAATGTTAGCGATTTCAAAATGCTCAATAAAGAAGCTTTTACGTATAGAATGTAATTAATATTTACCGTTATTCAATTTTAGCGCTTTCAGCACTTTCGCTTATTATGCCAAAATTAAATCCTCGCTAAAAATTTTGCTCATACGGTATTTTACAATAATATAACATGTAATCCACTCACTAATTTGAATCTAATTTCGTCTGAGAAAGGTCACTTACCTTTATGGTAAAGTACACATATTTTTTTTTGTAATCACGCTAGACACTGACTGGATAGTAACATGATAAGGTTTGTTGTAAGAGACATTGCAAGAAATACTTATTAAAGTCCAGAACAAAGACCCCAAATCTGTAGATTTCATTAGCAAGCTTTCTAATCAAATAATCTACGACCAATCCAGGACCAATGTTATCTTTCGAAACAAAAAACCCAGCAAATCCTAATATCTAAATGAAAATACGATATACGATATTTTTTCATATTTCTCTAAACAAGGTAAAGAAAGTATTGTTGTTAATAATCATAGAACAAACAAACTTCCAACACCGAATGATTAAAAAGATAGAAATGTTTTCAATTTTAATGTCTGGTGGTAAGTATTTTGAACACTTGTTAACGAAGGTATTATATGAAATTTTATAACAAAAAAACTAAGTTCATGCCCAAAAGTCTATTCAAACAAACACATCAGGAGCAGAGCAAACAGGTCTCTAAAAAATCAGTTGTCAGGTCATTGTCAGAGGTGTGCATTCCCTATCGACTAGTCAAACCCGCTTTGAGCTCTTTTCTAATGCTAAAAACACGGAAATATTTAGCCAATTTCTAAATATTGGCTTTGTAACATGCAAACACATTTGTCATAATGCTAGACTGTATTTGCTGACAGTGTCAGACCTATGATATATACATGCTTTATGATTATATTTAAGTGCAGTAACTGGATGACGGAGCAATATGGACTGTCACATTCAGACACAAGATGATGGTTTGAATCACTACAATGACATTGACACACTGTATGACGATAGAACTATGTACACCATGACGTTCAGACACTGATGAAGTATTTTGTAAATAATATTTAGTTTACTAGTATGTGGTATAAAATGTTTAAACACCTGTATTAAATTTTCAGTCACTTTAATTCAACTTCCAGTCAATTGTAAGTGTCACGGCAATAAAGTAGAACTTTGCATGTTCAATCTTTAGTCATTTGTAAGTGTCACGGTAATTATACGAGGGTCATTCAAAAAGTTCGTAGACTTTTGTCCTAACTTTTTTATTTAATGTCATATTATATCCATATTTGGTACAAATATTTTAACAACAGATTCAAATAACTTGAGTAAAAAAATTGTAATGTATCTTCATATTTATTAAAATTACCAAGGATTTAGAACAGCAAAAATGGGGTCACGGAGCACCATCAAAATTTAGTAAATGTTCTAATTTTCACTTTATAGTATTTACAGCTATACCTCTAATAAATGGAGCTGAAACGAAATTAAATTTACATGTTTAAATAAAGTATTGCTGTATTAATAAAAATGAAATCAGGTTACGTAATATCTCGCTTCATTTAAAAGATATCAGCTTCTAAATACATATGGACTTGATAAAAAAGGCAAAAAAACCATGACGTTGGAGGACGACACGGAGCAGCAAGTAGCAATAAAATTAGACTTTACATTCGGGATCTTCTTCTACAACCTTAAAAATCCTTATAAACCAGGATATGTATGAAAAATAATCTGTGTATTTGTATTAAATTGAAAATACGATTTTTGAGTGGTAGCGAGTTTGAATCAGACGATGGATTGTCTGCAAAGAAACCGGTTTAAGTTAAAAAATATTGTCAAAAGAGTTAGGAACGTCATTGAACGTGATGTGTGCTTCAATGTTGCAGAAATAATAGAGTTGCATGGTAAATTAAAGAATTTGAAAACAATAACATACTACTTCAAGCTATATTTGTACAATTGTTAGCAAACTAGGCGTTAAGTGTTGTGGATATGTGTTTTGAATGGAGAAGATGCTACAAACCGTGTTTGAAATAAACAAAGAATGTATACTTTTGATAAACTTTCTCAGCGTTGTTTTTGACGTTACAATACTGGTTAACCGTGCTCCGTGGTAACAAAACATGTTACTTCAAATTTTGGCTAACATGAGTTCTATTTAATCAAATGGAATGAAACTTCACACTTCGATAAAAGAAAGGTTTATGTTTACGAAAATGGGTTGATCTATATTCTTGTAATAGTCATATGACAATGAGGTGCACTGTCTACGTATTTTTTGAATGACCCTCGTATAATCAATTAATTGTACTTAATTTTCAATTAGACGTATCAATTTTGAGTCATTGGTATAATAGAATTTTCTGTCACAATCTGATATTGACTTTTCAGTCTCTGGATGACGAGAGAGCAGTGTACAAGAGTTCCAGTCGCCTTACCACTACTTCTCAGGGCGATTCGTCGTCGTACGGCAGTGTTCTGTCTCAGATCCAAGAGAACACGTCCGACTGCGAGGGTATCGTCGACTTCCTGTCAAGGACTAATCGGGTTCTATGGAGCACAAGTAAGACAAGATGAAAGGGAAAACTCATTATTTTTTGTGCACTTTATACTTTAGGTAAAAAGCCCCGAAATCGGAAGCCAAATAATTCATAATTTGCTGACCATTTGCACGATTTAAATGGTTAAAATTGCAGAAGGGAAACTGTGGATACTGAACTTTCTACAATAACGTTTTAGGCGCTAAATTTCTTAATTTATACTAGTATGCTAAAAATTTGTAATTCCCATTAACCGTGTTATAAGAGATGGCCTCTGTAATATTGATTAGTTGTTTTATTTCTGCATTTTAGTTTTGAGTACAGTATTCTTATTGATGTTCACAGCATTACCATTGTCCATGATAGCCGTAGGTAGGTATATGTTTAAGTAAGCTCAACAGTGACCATTACTATAGTATATAGTGATTTTCACGTGTCTAACAGATCAATTGACGGAACGTTCAATGGCCAGACACTTGTGCTAATAGTTTACATGCTTTTAATGTATATTTTAGGATCAACATATCGTAATGAATGCCCTGTTGAGCCTCGTATTCCAATCTACCTGTTGGTAGGTGGCAGCTTTGGACTCATTAAGGTCCTCCTGATGTTGTGGAACCAGAAGAAGAGGAACAGTGACACGTGCGATGACGAAGATGATGACGCAGATACAGAGGACGCTGTCGTGCGCAGAACCACGAAGTTCACTAGTTTTATATTGACCATATTTCTGTTAGTATGGTTTGTTATGGGAAATATATGGTTTTACAATATTTGGAAGCCAAACTTTGACCAGCCCCTTCATGAGCCAAGAAACTGGTGTCACGAGGTCGTGTTTCGTTACACATTTTATCATCTGGTAACGTGTTATGGTCTCTTAGGACTAGGTATGGTTATTTTAAGCAGTTTTATTAGCTATTACTGTTGTAAGAAATACTTGTATATCAAATAGCCTTTACATCAAATCAAACTTTTGGACTATATTTTGATATTTTTTTGTACATACTTGTATAACTACACTCTTTTAAAAAAAAAATTAGGAGTGTTGCTTTTTATAGACGTCTTGGTCAACGAACACAAGCAGAACAGCTCACAACTTAACGCAGACCTTATCACATCATGTACATTCTCTATATTGTTATATTTTTGCTTTTGTAGACTTCGATATGGCTGTGAAATTTTATTCGTAATATTTTTTTTTATATTTACTTACAAATTCAATTGTCCACAAACTTAAATTTTTTCTGGTAATGACAAGGAGCACACATTGAATGAGACCGGACGACAGGGGATGCTTACTTCTCCATGGCACCTGATGCGACCTAGCTCTATGTTTCTAGAGATCCCATTCTGTTCTGCTTTTATTTTGTTTCAATTAATTTTGGAGTTTGATTGCTGTTTGCTATTTTCATATTTCATTAATCTTGTTAATAAATTTGTTTTCTTTATATCTTTGTTATCCTGGACATGCCGTTACTGCTGATTCAGAAAGCTGAAAATGAAGACCAAAAAATTTCCAGACATAGTTTAAGATAAACATATCTATGTGTGTTTTTTTTTGGATACCAGGTCTTCTTACAAATTATTGGAATTCCCATGGGTACCAATTGCGCCCCGTTATTAAAAGACTTTTTTCTGTTTACATATGAAGAAAAATTTGTGCAAAATCTTTCACTTGAAAAAAATATGGAGAAAAAACAGTATTCAAGCTAAAAAAGTCCATTAAATCAATATAAGAGCTGGTAAATACGACCTCCATGGAGGGGTTAGTAAACATTTGCTGTGGCCTTCAACTCGACATTTAGATATATCGACGACGTATTGTCAATAAAAATAGTTATTTCCATTCTTAGGTCTACATGATATATCCCGGTGAGCTTGAAATAAAGATTTATTTCATACTTGGATCTTTACTAGAGAAAGACGTTAATGGTTATTCAGCAATAAAGTTTTATGATAAATGTGATAACTTTAACTTTTCAATCAACTTCCCTTAATTATGCATCAAAATACCTTTGTCACCTGTATAAGGAATTTATATCTCTCACTTGATTCGATAAGGAAGAATATGTTATACGTATGAACAATTTCTGAACAAAAATATCAGCAGTTTTGTTTAAAGTCATTATTTCGTGTTGATTGTTAAGCCTTCACTTATAAACTGAGTTGTCCACGGTGTTTTCCTGTAATTTCTCGGTAATGATCAGGAATACACGGTGGATGTAACCGTTCGGGAGGGATTGCTCGCTTCCCCATGGCACTTGATCCCACATCTGATTTTTGGGAGGTCCGTGTTTTCTATTGTAATGTTAAATGGACTTTTGAGATCGAATACAGTTCATTTTCTCACCATATTTCGTCTTATGTACAGGGAGACCGATCTTCCAACTGAGGACAAAACTTCCTTTTTATTAAAATTTCTAATGATTCTGTCAGATGCCAATTCTAAGTAATAGATTCACAATTAATATGAAAACGTGCATCAACATTTACCATATTGTTGACAGGCTCATTGTTTTGACCATAGAACTTGCTTAATGGTGACTTTATGGTATGATATAAAATCTTTGTAGTTTATTTGCAGTAACTGGATGATGAAAAACTAAGGACGATTAGATTTAGACTCAATATTAGTATTTGAATCTCAACAATGACATAGTCACACCATACATTCTGTATGACGATTTAAGGCAACATACAATATTTTGAAAAATGTCATAATTTTTTTTACAGTATTATAACAATAGTTATATCCATCTATATGTCCACTCGATTCACCACAGTCTGTCACATCTTTTTTGCTTTATTGACTAAAAATGACAAAAGCCAACTCAATTGTATGACAAATGAGACTACATTACCTGCTCAATTGTCGACATTCCTTATCTTAGTAGACTGTCCCGCTATTACCTGCATGCTGTGTCTATGTCTCGAAACTTATTGGATTCTGAAGAGCATTATGCGAGTACAATCAATATTGAACCATTGACAGGCTTTATTCTATGGTGGTTATAATGAACTTAATAAAATATATCACCTATTATAAGAACTCTGTCATATTTTGGCTGACTTGTTTCATATCAAATGCAATATCTTTGATTTTTACTAGTTGACCAGTAGCATTCACCATGTAGCCGGTCAACAGGGGATGCTTACTCCACCAAGGCACCTGACCCCATTTTTGGAATTTTCAGTGGTCTGTTCAAAGATTTGTACTGATTGAAGATTTTTTTTAGGTTGATCACTATTCTTTACCTATTTTTCTTTGTCAGTAATGCCATGTGCAGCAGGACTATACTTGAAAAAAAAAATAAAAAGGATGGATGGGTCATTTAGTCGAATACTAGTAGTAGGCACTGTGAGGCTTGTTTTGTAATTAAAATGAAAAAAACAGTACAGGAAATGGACTACAACTTAGATATGCTTGAATGCAAGAATGGATCTTATGGACAAGAATAACCCTGCAGACAAAGATTGTAACAAAATCGTTTCATAGAAGACATTTATAAATAAAATCAGGCTTATCAATTGCTATCTTTCTTTTTTGAGTTACTGGTTATGATTTTTAATTCCTCAAAGCTTTAAGAGTCATTGTCAGTTTCATGCATTTTATTTGATTATTTTTTCAATTCAGACAAATAGTAGATGTCGCATTCACCATCAAACATTATAAGTTACATTTTTTTCTAAAATAAAAACAATGATTTATTTATAAATATTTAGAAATTGAATCATATAAATAAAATGATCATAACTAATAAAAGGTCCAAGCAAAGAGAGGAAAATCATTAATTCTTCTGGCTAACATAATTATGGAGTATGTAAACATATAACTCTCATGTGTAAATATAGTCAGAAAATGTATTCAGCTGCAATTCACAGAAACTATGTGCATCTACATGTATATATAATACCAGTAATACTTGATCTTTGTCTTCACTAGCCATGGGTTTTGGATCTACTCTGCCCCTGTTGATTGGGAATGAAGTGCATCCAAATGCCTTTTCTAGCAATACTATGATACTATCCCTTTACTTTTTCTCCTCTGGGAGGACATATCCTTTACACACGACTGGTCCCTCCCTGTGGAGGAGGAGAGCAGCCCAGACACAGATGTCCACCACCTTCCCCTTCCTGCCGTGGTGAGAAAACAAGTTCTTGTCCATGGTGTCACCTTTCTGTGGGAAGACCAGCTCCATTGGGGGATCCTGCATACACATGTACCAGCACAGTTCTACACACTTACTGACGTAGGTAACTACTCGCTCATCCTGACGGGTCTTCTCATCAGGTAACAATTCACTCAGCTTTTGTTGAATGAATACCTTTTTTTAAAAAAAATAATACACTTTATTTTTAATACTAGTATATGAATCCGACACTTTGTTGTAAACTAACATTTTTTGCAAACATTAATTTGTTGTAAAACATATCACAGCTGAGGAATGATCATTTGAAAAAATAATTTGCTTACTCAAATGAATAAAAATCAAATACTGGTATGCAAATAGTCAGTGACTAAAATGTTAAGCTGTCATTTTAGAATGCCTAAAGAAGTAAATGTCCTACCTGAGCAATTAGTTTAGCTGTCTCCTTAGATGCTGCCTACAGGAGTTTTCCTACCTGAGCCATTAGTTTAGCTGTCTCTTTAGGTGCTGCCTACAGGAGCATTCCTACCTGAGTCATTAGTTTAACTGTCTCTTTAGATGCTGCCTACAGGAGCATTCCTACCTGAGTCATTAGTTTAACTGTCTCTTTAGATGCTGCCTACAGGAGCATTCCTACCTGAGTCATTAGTTTAACTGTCTCTTTAGATGTTGCCTACAGGAGCATTCCTACCTGAGTCATTAGTTTAGCTGTCTCCTTAGATGTTGCCTACAGGAGCATTCCTACCTGAGTCATTAGTTTAGCTGTCTCTTTAGATGTTGCCTACAGGAGCATTCCTACCTGAGTCATTAGTTTAGCTGTCTCTTTAGATGTTGCCTACAGGAGTATTCCTACCTGAGTCATTAGTTTAGCTGTCTCTTTAGATGTTGCCTACAGGAGTATTCCTACCTGAGTCATTAGTTTAGCTGTCTCTTTAGATGTTGCCTACAGGAGCATTCCTACCTGAGTCATTAGTTTAACTGTCTCTTTAGATGTTGCCTACAGGAGTATTCCTACCTGAGTCATTAGTTTAGCTGTCTCTTTAGATGTTGCCTACAGGAGTATTCCTACCTGAGTCATTAGTTTAGCTGTCTCTTTAGATGTTGCCTACAGGAGCATTCCTACCTGAGTCATTAGTTTAACTGTCTCTTTAGATGTTGCCTACAGGAGTATTCCTACCTGAGTCATTAGTTTAGCTGTCTCTTTAGATGTTGCCTACAGGAGTATTCCTACCTGAGTCATTAGTTTAGCTGTCTCTTTAGATGTTGCCTACAGGAGTATTCCTACCTGAGTCATTAGTTTAGCTGTCTCCTTAGATGTTGCCTACAGGAGTATTCCTACCTGAGCCATTAGTTAAGCTGTCTCTTAGATGTGGCCTACAGGAGTAAATGTTTCCTACCTATGCGTGTCCACAGACAGTTTAGCTGTCTCTTTGGATGCTGTCTGCAGGAGTAAATTCCTACCTGAGCCATTAGTTTTGCTGTCTCTTTAGATGCTGCCTTTCTGATTTGCTTAGCGTACCTCTCCACCACCTGATGTAGTGGAGACTTGGACTTCTCCTTTTTTGTAGAATGTTGCATCTTCAGAAAAATAGAAGTTGGGGATACATTCAAAACTGAAGTATCACAAAAATAATAACACAAAAAATGGTTGATAGCAACTCACTGAGTCATAACATTAATATGTACTTGCTGAATTATCTAAATTTACTTACTTTAACTTATTACTGTACCAACACGTAAACTACTTTGTAATTTAGTATTAAAAATAAACTTACTTTTGCTGTGTCTTGTTGAAGGGCTCCTTTTATATGATTTTCCAGCTTTTGCAATTGTTCCTGAGATTTCTCTTTACAAAAGCTAAAAACTTTCTAGATTAAAAAAATCCAAAAATTTCATTTAATCAATATTCATGTTAACAGTGGTAAAGTTACCTCAAAATATCTATTTTTCAAACTTTCTGTCATAGCACAGACTAAGCTAGATTAACTTACTCTACAAAAAGGTTTGTGTCTACTGAGTATACCTATAAACTGAAAGACTCTCGATATTCCATTATAAACATCAGTATAAAGTAGAGACATACCAATAAAAAAAAGTTTCCTTTGAGAGTTTAGGTTTTGCTAAATATGGTTTGTAAAATTGCAATATTCTTGAATTTTGAAGAAAATGGATGACTTTGAGCATCTTCAACTACTAAGTAAAATATTAGCACAACCTCCGATCCAAAAAAAAATTATGGAAAAGAATCCTCTAAAACAGTTCTTTTTTTAAACAATTAAACAACTTTGATATGAGGTTTGGGGCTATGCGTTGGAAAAGCTTAACGTTTGGCCATTTTGAATGACTTTTTCAGGATTTAAGGAAAATGAAGAAATTAATGTCATCATATTGCATGGACTAGTGAGAAAATTTGGTCATTTCTAATTGATATTAGGTCACCGCGGGTTTTTGTAAAATGGAATAATTCCCACTAAAACTAAAAGTTCCAATAAAAAAAAATCATAGCAGGAAGGCCTCAGGTGAACTTTGTTCTTTCCCATCTTAAAATTTTTATCCTGCAATTCTTTTCATGATTCAAATTACAATATAATCAATGTACAAACACTTAATCAAACACTATTTTAGAAATTTCCCACAGAACCAAACATTTCCATTCTCTCTTTACCAACCTTTACAATCTTCTGTAGCATTGTCAGTGTATTTGGATAGATTTCATCCTCATCCTCTTTTGTGGTTGGTTTTAAGGCCTCAAAAGCCTCAGACCACTCATCATCAAAAAGCTGACTGTACATCTCTCCCAGTCTGGTGGGGCGGTGGACGTCACTCAGGTCTGCAATGTTAGGGTCACCCTCGGTCAACTGCTGGCTGGCAAATCTTGTCAACCTGACAAATAAACAAACAATGCTAGAAACATAGATACAAGGCAAATTGTTATACTTTTATACAAGTGCCTATAAGCTTCACTTTTAAAACATGGCTCCACTATGCAAATTTGTCCTTCACTCACTTAAATGAAGTTGCATAAGAGTTCTGCAGGTTTAAATAAATTTCATCACAAGAATAATACTGGGAAATGCAAAAATCCATTATGTTTTGATCTTAACCTTCATTTACTGATTTTAAAATTTTAAATATCTAATAAATTGAGCTTCTGATTCTAAATAAGGACTGCTAAGAAAGCAGGTTGATGGACACTTTTATTCCATCAATGAAATATAACAAGGATTCTCCCCACAGATTCAGAGGAATTTCTGTTTTATGCTTGATTGCTCATAATGATAATATTCTTCAATTTCGAAAAAAAGATAAAAAATTGAATGAATAGCAAATTCAAGGTTTGATCTTAAGATCAACTAAGCATGCAAAATGCAGCATTGATTAATAACTCTTGTGAACCTGTTAACATGTAAAAGTTTAATAATTATTTAATGGTCACTAATTAAGAGACAGGTTCATTAAGAAGTGTATCTGTACCTTGTAGAGAGCTCCTCGACTTCCTCTGTCTTCTTCAGAAGGTCTGCCTGCATGGAATAAAACTGTCTTTTATCTACAATAAGATAAATGTTTCTGTCTGGACCCTGCAGAGAAACAGTAAAGTGTGGTTTATATATCAAATGACCATCAGGGATTTTTGCAAAAAAAATTGCTTACTTCCTGTATAATCCTACTGACTGACAGACAGATAGACAAAATAATTACATTTATCTCTAATTACTACTTTAAATATGCTAAATGATAGTTGACTTTAAATTAAAATTGTACATCAGAAGTAAAATAGAAAAGTATCATTTGTTCCTATTTTTACCATAAAATTTGCATTCAAACAATTCCATTTGTATCATTAAGTCTAGCTCATTTTACGTGTACTGCAAAATCTTTTAGCAAAGTATTTTTGAAATAATTAGAATGGTATCATAAAATCTAGGTCATTTTAAGTATACTCCAAATTCTTTTAGCAACACTGTTTACATTAGCTTTCCTGGCGAGATCCAGTTGATTTTCAGCTATCAGTAAGGTTCCATACTCCCTCCAGATGTCACTGTAGCTGCCATTGTACGTCTTCGGCCTCAGTTTCACCAGGTACCTGTACAGCGCCCTCTCTCTCACTGACTCAGGAACCTCGTCTGGTTTACTCATATTGACCGTCACTTGTGGTAACACATTCTGATGATAGAATAAAATTATTCTCAAAAATACCATGGCTATACTGTCGACCTTCATGAAAATATACAGATAACGCACGGTGATCTATCTTTAAAAAATCTACAAACAATACAAATCTCTGAACAGAGCAAAAAAAAAAGAAAAAAAACCCCTTTCTTTTCATTTATTTTCCTATTAATTTCTTACTTATGTTGTTTACTATATTCTCTTGGAGGAAACACATCTCTGTTAATAAGATTATATATTCCTTATTAATTCAAAAACAATAATTAAACAATTTTGTATAATAGACCGGGTGCGGAACTTTTGTTATAGAGCCAGACCGGACCTAACATGTTGTCGTATTAGGTGCGGTCGGATCTTTAAAGGAGGCGGACCAAATATTATGCGTCACCGGTCACATCTTCCAGTCGCATCTGCCTTGTCCTATTTGTAAATCCTCATGCCAAATTGTCAGTTCCAAATTCTACTTGTCAAATTTTCAAACGTCTAATACCATTGCTCATATAAAATATCAGGTGTTTATCAGAATCTATCATACCTATAGATAGGTTCCAATATCCAAAACTCCATACAAAGGATGATATTTACGGCATAAAGCATATGCTCTTCCAAACCTGTTCTTAATCCTCTCAAAAATATTAATAACTGTGGAGTAACTTCAAAATTACACAACACTGGCAAGGTTACGTAGGGAAGAGCCATATGCATACGTTGGATATACGGAAGATGCTTACTCCTATACGGACTTATATCCCACCTTTAATATTCGGAGGGACCGTGTTTGCTCTGCTCCCAATTTGCATTGTTTCAATAGACAATTAATTTATTACTGTTCGTAGCTTTTCATTCTTTTCAAAATGAAATATAAGACCCTCGGAGTTTGACACCTCTCCGTAATATTTATACATTTTAATGACATCTCGTTGTTAAACGTGTTATGGGACTGACCCATCATAAAAGATCAGACAAGCCTTCCAGGTCTCCTTCCTATTACAGCAGAGATTGACATTAAGAAGTTTCAATTCTTTGGTCGTCTCTGTGAACTCAACACAACCTTCCTCACCAAGCGTGTATTCATCATCCGTCTGTTCTCTTACCTGTACAACTCCAGTACTAAACATTATGAGTTTATTCGAGACATAATTCCCATACTATTGAAATACAACTTATACCACGTGTTAACTGATTATCTCGAAAGTGGATTCTTCCCCAACAAATCTCAGTGGAAAACATCAGTGAAATCTTCTGTCATCTCGTTTCACTCTGCCTCTAGGCGCAACCGAATGCTTGTCGACCCTGACTTTGCTAGATTCAACATTCTCTGCGCAAGCAAAACACCGGAGCATCTGTGGATCATCCCCAACAATATTCATGAAATTGTTCTGTGTAAATTCATTGTTAAGCTATGGAACCTTTTATATGTACTGCCGGTGTAAAGACGAATAATGACCCCCATCGAATAATGACCGGGGGTCATTTTTCGACAGCGAAAAATGACCCCCGGTCATTATTCGACGTAGAAAAATGACCCTTTTGCCCGTAGAAAAAGTGTCACTTCCCTAAAAATTTGCAGAACCCACGTGAAGAAAAATGACCCCCTGTAGATTAAAGCTAAAATTTTTAGGGGGCAAAAAATTTGATAAAGAAGCACATTGGCCAAAATGCTCACCTGAGCTTATTGGGAATAAACTGATGATATGTTGATCTCATAACATTATACAATTATAGACATATTTTAAGGTAAATGCAATGATTCAGAATCTAAAGGAGTAAAAGATTTATCAAGCCTTAAGGGTTAGGTAAACATTGTTTTTTGATGGTGGAAATCATCGAACTGACAGAAAAAGTCAGCAGTATTATATATTATCATATCCTCCGCTTGAAAAGCGGGAGGGTATATAGTGATCGGGATGTCCGTCCGTCCGTCTGTTACGCTTTGAGGTATCCATCTCTTATCCGCAAATCCTCATATTTAAAAAAATGTGTTTGTGAAACAGCTATGCCCCTGTATGGCAACATAGCGAAGATTAAACTTTTCTTAAATGCAATTAAAATATATTGTTACCCAAAGTAGGGTCTTCTCACAAGAAATACAACTGCAAAATAGGAAAGCTCTAGCACCACTTGTTCAAAAGTAATGGCTAAGGATAAGTTTTTGAAATGTAGGTCAAACTCAAAGGTCAAAGTTGATGATTTCTGAAGAAAATGTTTAATGTAACAAGGATTACATATGTGAAGTATGAATACCCTAGCCCTTACCGTTCAAAAGTTATGGCCAAGGTAAAAAAAAATCATAAGTACGGAAAACTCCAAGGTCCAGGTCAAAAGGTCATGGTTTTTAATATCAAATGAAAGGTAATGCCAAAAAACTACATATTTGAAGTATGAGAGTACTAGTATCTACCGTTTAAAAGTTATGGCCAAAGTAAAAATTTGGCATTTTTGTGTAAAATGGGACTCCAAGGTAAAGGTCAAAAGGTCAAATTTAGTGGTACCCAAAGTAAGGTCTTGTCACAAGAAATATACATATTAAATATGAAAGTCATAGCTCCAATAAATGAAAAGTTATGGTAAAGGTTAATGTTTTTGCGGACAAACAAACCGCCAGATAGACAGACGGACATACAGACGAACACGATAGAACTATATCCCCCACGAATCTTCGATTACGGGGACATAAAAAGAAATGGTCTTCAATTAACTTTTCATATTAATATACATTATAAAGAAGACGTTACAACAATGAAAATGTTTGTTCTGATTTTCATATTAAATTCTCTGAAAAATATACTCAGAACTGAGTAAAAGGGTGGAGTAAAACAAGAATTAAGGTAGAACCCTTGTCGGAAAAGTCTTTGTCACAAGATTTTCAAACTTTTCAAAATGATAAATTAGTACTTGCTTATCAATCAGTTAAGATATCATGATATGTTTCCTTGTTTTTTAATCTAGAACAGGCTGTGAAACTTGGTATGGTATTTACATTCTGCGACTTCACATTTTCAATTTTTTTTAGGGGTACTTGTCATAAAGGGAATATGAAAAATCACAAAAATACTTCTTCAAACATCATCGTTTATAAACTTTTTAAACTGAATAATATTAAACAATATTTCATCAAGAATAATTTCTTTTTTATTTAATTAACATAAAAGATAAGTCCACCATTAAATAAAATAGTCAAATGAACTCTATTATTTTTAGTCAATTATGCACCCTATATTTGTAAATATTTTTTAGAAGTCTTTGTCACAATGTTTTCAAACTTCAATATGATGAAGAACATAGCCAAATGATTACAAAAAAATGATTAAAATATATACTTTTCCCCTCTAACTAATGAAAGATAGGCTATTTACCGATACTCATATTCTTGACCTTTTTGCACTTACACGGGATTTAATAATTAAATGACTGTTTGGGGTTACTTTCAGATTAAATTTTTATCAGAAATTGTACTTTTACTTTAAAAAGATCATATTTAATAGAAAAATTGTAATCAAACACCAAGAATATGAATAGGTAACAAATAATTGTTAAAAGGAATGCACATCATTTCATTATAGATATCACAAAAATGTACACACGATCAAACGATCTACAACACGTACATCTTTGACTTAGACACATTTAATCAAGATATTACATTATATAGCTGGCAACTAAAGATTTCTTACGATTTATGCACTCCTTCAAAATGGTTACATACCATTCAAATTATTACGAAAGTTGTATGTACATTGTAATTTCATTACACTAGATAGTCTTGGGTTTGTCAACTTCAGGTCTAGATCTAGTAAATAAAAGGTGCCTACATATTTTCTCTTATTCCAGAAATATATTGCCATTAAGCATTATAAACCAAAGAATATATGAATTGATTAAGATTATGTTGGCATGATTGAATTCTGTAAATTTCAAAATGCAGTATTTTCTACCATTTTTAGGTCACCTGAGTAAACTCAGGTGACCTATTGCTATCTGTTTTCGTCCGTCGTCGTACGTCGTTCGTAAACTTTTGAACATTCTTACCTTCTTCTCTGGAACCACTCAGCCAATTTCAACCAAATTTGGTATACAGCATCTATGGGTAAAGGGGAACAAAAATTGTGAATTTCATGGTCCCCGCCCCCCTGGGGCCCGAGATGTGGGGCCAAAACCACTAAAATTATTGCAATCTTTAAAAATCTTCTTCTTTACTCCTGGACATCAAGCAGGCAAACTGTTGGCATGAATGTAATGAGCATTGAGTCCTCTACTAAAATTGTGAAATTCCTGGCCCCAGGGTCAGGGGTTCTAGTGCTAGGGCGGGGCTAAATAGGTTATATAGTGAAAATGCATTATTTCTTTGAAAATCTTCTTCTCTGCTCCTGTTTATTAAATCAACTAACAAAGTACATAGTTATGATGAGCAAGAGTCTCTCTTCTAAAATTGTGAATTTTATGGCCCCAGGGTCAGGGGTTCTGGTGTTAGGGCGGGGCTCTATTGATTATATAGTGAAAGTTCATTTATTCTTTGAAAATCTTTTTCTCTGCTTCTGGGTATTAAAAAAACTTACTAAGTACATCGTTATGATAAACAAGAGTGCCTCTTCCGAAATTCTTAATTTTATAGCCCCATGGTCAGGGGTACTGGTGTTTGGGGGGGGCTCTATTGATCATATAGTGAAAATGCATTAATTCTTTGAAAATCATCTTCTCAGCTTCTGGGTATTAAATAAACTAAATAAGTACATAGTTATGATGAGAGAGTGTCTCCTATAAAATTGTTAATTTTATGGCCCCAGGGTCAGGGGTTCTGGTGTTAGGGTGGGGCTCTATTGATCGTATAGTGAAAATGCATTAATTCTTTGAAAATACTTTCCTTTGCTTCTTGGTTTTATGCCAATGATCCAAGTATATATATTTATGATGAAGAAAGGTGCATGTAGCAAAGTGGTTTTTTATGCCCCCTGGGTCAGTGGTGGTGGTGGTGGGGGGGGGGGGGTACATAGCCTGAAAATAAATTAATGCTTTGAAATCTGCTCTTTGGTTTTAATCAACCATTTTATGATAAAATTTGCAAAATTTTGAAATATGTGGCCCCTGGGTTAGTGGTTCCTTTGGAGTGAGGTGCACAACTGGGTATAAAGTGGAAGTGCATTTTCTCTTTTTTACTCTGATCTACCTCTGGGTATTAAGTAAATAGAGTAAGCATGCTAAATTTATAATTATGATAAGCAGTGGTGCCTCTTTCAAAATTGTGAATTGTGAATTTCACGGCCTCTGGTTTAAAACACGAACCAAATTTAATCGTTTGAAAGTTGTTGCACAATACTCAGGTGACCTATAAGGCCCGTGGGCCTCTTGTTATTGAAGCTGTCAAGTACGGGAAAAAGTGGCGTTGAATTAATTATGACGTCTTAATGGGTTAGCAAAGGTTTAACACATTTACCAGTTATGATGTCATACGAAGTAGGTTCTACGTTAAAAGAAATGTAATGAATATTGTGTGCTAAATCAAAAGCTTATGTCTACATGTATAGTTTTTGCATTAGAATGGCTGTGTATTTTACACTAGCCCATAGCTTTACAGAGCATATTTTTAGGTCTTATACTTACCCCACCCCCTTTCTTATTTAGGAGGAAGTCGATATTGAACAAAAGCAAAAAAAAAACCACCCTACCTTTATTTTTCTATAAGAAGGAATTAAAAATAAGCTAAAAATAATCTACTTATTTTTAACTGTTACTTTGCCACAATACTTTCAAGTATACCTCCACCAACATTTAAAGTATGCTTTAATCATGGCGAAGTAAATTATAATATGATAATACTTGTGTGAAGGCTTAACTTCATTTCAATATTTTATCTAGAGCCTCTTTCAGAATTATTAAAAGGTACAGAGTTTTATTTATATTTTTGCTTTTCATTTATTATTATTATTTTTTTGTTTTGATTTAGCGTAATGTTCTTTTTTGGGGAGGGATAAAAATTTTCTCATCTTTCATTGTCAAATAGGATTTGCCAAACTTAAACAAACTAAAAGTTTAAATTACGAAAAATTTAATTTTTCCTATCAAAGAGTATTTAAACCTGATTTTTGCATGGTTTGATTTCTAAAAACAAGTGGAATATCATTCTTTAAGCAAACTCTATAAGGAGGAATATTAAAAAGAAATTTTATTTACTTGACAATTAAAGAATCTCTTTTCAAACACAATTTTAGCATTGAAAGACCACGTAAACTCCTAATTATTTCATACGACTTTTTGTATTTTTCTGGTTACAGAAAATGTAAAAATCAGTTTCGCTGTAAAAAAGATATCAAAGAGTGTATATTTTGTATCACTTTAAAGGGGGTCATTTTTCAATGGGGGTCATAATTTTATAGGACTAACATATAAAATAATGACCCCCTAGGACCCTTTTTCTACAGAAAATGAATTTTTTCTACTGGTGGGGGTCATTTTTTGTCGTTGAAAAATGACCCCCCGGTCATTATTCGATGGGGGTCATTATTCGTCTTTACACCGGACCTTAAGTAATTTTTTTGTCTAAGAAATCATCAGTCATTACATTAACAGACTTCTAGAGGAAAGATACTTTTTATTCAGAATTTCCTGGAATACTGTACCTCAGTCTGTTACTAGAATATTAAATTAAAAGGGAAATGATTTATAGAAAGATAAGCATTCTTTTTAAAGAATTTTTTTACCGCTTTGATAAATATACATTAATGGAAAGAGTTACTGACGAACTGTATTCTTGCAGGAGATTTACTTACAGCCTGGGGAAATGTACTCCTAAGCACAGCCTGACATGTAAACATGTGGACCAGGTCCTGATAGGCCTCTTCATATTCCTCTGAGTCTTTATCCTTTTCTTTGTCCAAAAGTTCAAACAAGGTCAAAGTTTTGCCCTAGAAAATTTAATCATCTAAAAGTTCATGACACTAATGTGCACTAAAAATAACCAACGACACGAACAATAAAAATTGTCAAATTTTCGGGACGCCCTGTCCCTTCCTCAGGACAAAGAAAATACATAGTTATACATACAATACATAGTTATGTGGGTTGTTCGAGAGTTGGTGACGCAAATTGACTGTAGAGTTTACACTAAATTGAGAAAATAATCTTGTTTAGTATCATCGGGAATTGGGTCTAGTTTACGTTCATTCTGGTGAAGTCATTCAGTTTGTTAATACCATTAGGGCGGAATGACAACCCACATAACTATGTATTGCTTACGCCTTTGTTAATTATTTTTTCCCGGTAATAAGTCTTTAAATATTTCAAAATTTATAATGGATCATAATTCATATGTTTAAATATCCCTGCTTTCTAATTTTTCTTTGATTATTCTTTATTAAGTAAAATTACGCTATTTTGAGAGAATGAAACAATGTACGATTTACTGATTGTCGTAATTAATTAGCATAATTAATTCGTTCAATTATGTAAATCGCACTTCACCCGAGTATACCCGATAGACTGGACGCATTTCATAGCGGTCCGGATTCCTTTTTTATCAGTGTTCTTAAAAATTTCGAATTCAACATGTAATTAAGTATGTAAATATCTAGTGTTTAGTAGTTAAGTAGTAGTGCTAGTTGTTTTTGTTTCTATTTTTCCTTTGTTCTTATGACTTTTTAACTTTTTTATTTGTCCTGAGGAAGGGACAGGGCGTCCCGAAAATTTGACAATTTTTATTGTTCGTGTCGTTGGTCATTTTTAGTGCTTTATATAAATTTCCATCCGTGACCTTGTATCTACTTGGTAGATCCGACATTTAGGATATACAGTGTTGTTGGTTTTTTAGTGCTTTATATATATATATATATATATATATATATAAATATATATATTTATATACATATAAATACATATATATATATATAAAGCACAAAGAAATTCACTTTTACGTGGATACCCACTTCCGCCCCAGCCCGGGGTTGAACTCTCGACCTTCGGAATCTGTCTCCTAGCAGTGCAGGATCAGCGCGCTAGACCGCTCGACATCTAGGCAAGTCAATATAACTTTCTTTCGATGCCGATGAAATTCTCGCGGCGCTGCCCTACACTACACGGTCATTGAGAATAGAAGTGAGATACAGTTATTTGGACATTAGTTTTAACAGAGGATTGTTACCAATACATGTTGTAATGAAATTAATTATTATTTATAAGGCCACACCAATTCAATATCTTGGTCGCCGGACCCACGCGCATGTAATTTATAACTTTCCAAAAAATAATATTAAAAAAAATTTCCCGCATCCGGATT